GATTCACAATTAGCGCATGCGTTTGAGGTTTCGTAATTAATCGAGAATGTATACTTACTAAAGAGATTGGTTAAGAAACAGACTTTTAGACTTGCGAAACTTGAATCTGAAACTTTGTGAGGTCTCGAAACCTGATTTATTTTTCTCTCTCTCTTTTTTAAGCAGTAATTATCTATCTATTTTGTCAAAAATTAAAATATTAACAAATTTTGATTTCTGAAATTTTTAAAAATTTAGATAACTAGTCAATAATAAGGAAAGTCATCTTCTCGAAAAATTAAATATTTATTTTGTGTTTTTTAAATAAATTATAGTAACAAAATTATACCATGAGGGGTTTAAAGTGTAGATGCAAATTTTACTTATTCTTAAATATTTTAAATATTATTCTTAAATAAAAATAAATTAATATCGTTGTAGTTATAAATTATACAAATTATTCTCTTAAGATTTCAAGAGTCATAAAAATATCAAATTACAAAAGCTTAGCTATAGTTAGAATTTTTAAATATTGAAAATTTTTGAATTTCTGAAAGATTCGAAGTATGATCCATCCTTAACAACAACCATTGTAATTATATATTAATGAATTTATTTTGAACAATGTATATTTGTATATATTTTTATTTTATATTTTTATTTTATATTTTTATTTTATTTTTATTTTATATGTACATATTTGCAAATTAGACTATAATTATAGAAATGAATTTTTATGGTTGCCACTTTGCAAATCTAGTTTAATATTTCCTAATCATTTGGGTTAATGACGCATTTCAAAACTAGTTAAATAATTATAATAATTATATACACATTAAATAGAAACACAAGTTAAATAGATATACACATTATAATTTTTAGAATAGAAAATTTTATTTATTTGAACTATATTGATATAATATATTGTGATACTTGTCTATTATTTAAATATTTGAATTATTTGTTATTTAAAATAATTTAAAAAAGATATCAATATATATAACAAACGTTTATATTATCAATATTTTGAGCTGAATATAATGTTTCATGTAAATTTTAATTATTTATAATTTAAAAAATAACTTTAATCAATATCTTTATATATCAACTTTTATATTCGTTTTAGCTTCTAAAATTATAATCTAAAACCAAAAAGTGTTCCACTGAGATAATATCCTGTACGTGATATCATTTTTATCAATATAACTTATTGTAACTAACATTTCTTTCATCCATTTGTCATTTCTGTTTTATATTTTTCTTTTCTCAGATCAGATCATAATAGTAACGAAAATTAATAACAAAAAAAAAACATTTAAATTAAAATCAAAATACTTTTTATTTAATATTATGTTTTTAGTTCGTTGTATTTTGCAAAATTTAATACTTTTGTATGTTATTTATTAATGATTTTAAAAGTTCTTCTTCAAGTTTTAAATAGTTTTTATTTTAATAATATTTTTTACATTTCTTATGTTTTTATTAACATTAATTTTTATTGCATTTTATTATTCTACGAAAGTTCATTCTAATATCGCTTTTAAAATTACACTTTTCTTTCGAGTCATTTGTCGCTTTCGAATGTCAATTAGAATGTTACCTTTTCTTTATTCTTTAAATAATTACTCTTTTAATGTACGTGATATGTCAGCCTGAGAAATTTATTTTCTTGCAAGTTATTGATTATTTTTATTTCAGTTTCATTTAGCTTGTGTCTATGAGGCATTTTCTGTGTATTATTACTAGTAAAACTAATAATTTTCATAGGATAATATATATTGTCTCTTTAATTTTAGAGCCATATAAATTTTTCCTTTAGATAAAAACATAAAAAATAATTATTATTATTTTAATAATAAAACAATGTTTTTTATGATGAAATTGGAGTTTGAAATAAACATTGATATTTCAATAAATATTTTTTAATATTTTATGTTTAAAATATAAACTTTTACAAATTATTCGTTTGTATAGAATATTGCACATATTTATAAGATATTTTTTAGAATTGTATAATATATATTTTATGAGTTGTTAATATATTTTTGGAAGAAACAATTCGAAAAATTAAATACAAAAGTTTTGTTTATTTTTATTTGTTTATATTTTATTATATTATTTATATTTTATATTTTTATATTTATTTATTCTTAATTATTGAGTTATAAGCAAATTAGATGAAACGAGAAAATAAATAGATTTTTCTGATTTTATCTCTGTTTCATTTCGTAATACAAATTCAATTGCTAATAAATAAATCTTAATCGATATTTTTATACTAACTTTTGCATTTGTTTTAATTTTTAAAATCGATTTTCTAAATGTATTTCACGAATATATTAATATTATATAATGATGTATTGCATAAGTATATTATAAGTTTATTATATAAAACAAATAATCATATAATAAATAAATAAATAAAAGAGCGAATTTCTAACTTAAATATAATCCCTAATTTTTATATATATATATCATGTATAATAAAAAAAATTTAGCATTTATTTATAATAAACAGATAAATACTTAAAATTTAACATGTAATATAATAAAATTTTTTAACATTGAATTGAAAAAAAATCAAGACATAACTTTGTATTTATTAAAAAAACTGTTAGATATTAATATGCTCATATTAATATACAAGATATTAATATACTCATGAGATATCTTTGAAAAATTAATTCCAGAGACTAAAACAAAATTTGATATAAAATAAAAATGTTGATCTATATATAATAAAATGTCAATCTCTATCTGCTTCATTAGCTTAAATTGCTTATATAATTTTTAATCAAAAAGAGGAATATATTCACAATTGCATGCTCTTTTTATTACAATCTGTAATATGTCTAAAATGTAAGTTGTAATTTGCCTTGCTTAATAATTTTTAATTTTAAGCGTCTATCGTATTTTAGCTGCTTGCTAATATCGATATATTATTGTAATCACAGTATACACACAAAAAATTGCAGTGCAAAAAAGCATTAGCATGTTGTATTTCGTGACAGACAACCATTTAATCACCGTAATCTATTTTTAATTTTATAAAATGATCATACATGAAAAAAATGAAATTTTATCTCGCTTAAATTCACAGAATAGTCTATTGTGAAACTCATTCGATTGCACGCAAATCGTGTTATATATCGTATAACCATAATATTATGCAAATACATTCATTTTGATACTGATATTCGATTAGAAATAACATAGCAAAATTTAAGCATAAAAACGTATTTTTTTCGCATTCAGAAATTTCGAAAATGTCATTGCTGTGATATGACATTACGATTGTTACATTATATTCTATTGTAAAATGCGAAATGTCATGAATTGTTACACACGGATCTCATTAAAAATTCGAATGTAGAAAAAAATTTAAAAAATATCATATGTAATAAAATTTACACATATGTATAATTAAAAAAATAAAAATAAAATTTAAAAATTTTTTTAAAAGTAAAAAATATTAATTGCCATATTTATTAAATTGTTATATTTATATAAATTATAATATAATAATTAAAAAATTTTTTATGAACTTATGGAAACTTAATAATTTATAATTAATAAAATATAATTAATAGTTTTTTCTATCAACTCAAAGAAATATTTTCAATAAAACTTGAATCTAAAAATTTTTCATATACGAATCATTGACCTATAATAGATATTTAAATATTTTACATACAATAACATAAAAATAATTAGATATACATAATTAAATTTCTGTTTCAATAAAATACAATATTAATTTTGCCAAAAATATTTTCACATTCTCAATTATCATAAAAATACGAAATCCATCATTTTGACGAATTCAATTCTTCTAGAATCTCTAGATCATAAAAAATAACAGATCCTGTATATGTAAATGGATAACTATTTCGATTATTTTGTTTAAGAAAGTATATCAATACGAGGAAAGCAAATTAAAAAATAAACTCGCCGAAGTCGACCAAAGGGTAACATTGATTTTTTGGTTGCATCGAAATCACGTGAGGCCGGGGTTGCACGCGACATTGCGATATCACATCTCCTGATTACGGTCAAGTGCGAATGTCATCGGCTTAACCTTCGCGTGGCGACATTCCTTTGAAAATTTATTCGACGAAAAGTACGCGATTTGGCTCGGTCAATGATCGATTTTAGTCACAATGTACTATTACCATCACATTTTAACATTTCTCTTCTTCTAAATAAAATCTAAATATATATATAGCGAGGTGAGAATCATAATGGAAATGGAACGATGCTAGGACGAAGTTGTTGCAACGTATAAGATAAAATTTAAATCGAGCAAGTAATATTAAAACCGAATCGTACAAGTACAAAAAGAGAAATTATAAAAATAAAAAAAAGGAAAACTGTTTTTCTTTCAAATCTGTCAACTTTCAAATGTGAATTTTTTCTTTTTAAATGTTTTATATTTGACGAACGTCGTGATAATTCTCAATCCGTTAAATATTTCATACGCGAAATTATGATACTTAATCGATACACACAATAAGTGTATATGTATATAATATATATAATATATCGTCTATTTTCTTTTCTTGTACTGTTTAGCGTATAAAATCGCGATAACTTGGTCAGTCAACGATGTTAATTTAAAATCAATATAAATGTGCAAATTTTAGCATACAATGCTTCGTGATTGATTCGTGAATTAGTAATATGACTTGGCGCGATCGAACGTATCGGTTAACGCGCGCATTTTGGAATAATACCGCAGACGCATGTTAATCATCGAAAAAAAATAATTAAAAAAAAAATAAATTACGAATCGTGCAATAATAAAATTATTAAGAAAAAAAAATTTAATAATAATTCTATTTGAATTTTTGTATCTTAATTACACCAAAGAGATTATTTTATTATCAAAGTTTTCTTTATTTCAATCCTCGATTATAAATTTATCTCAATGAATATAATTCTTCATAAAACAAAACTAATAATAGTTAATTGGATAGAAAAATTTCAATAAAAATAAACTTCATAATATCCGCTTTACTTACCAGAGGTAGATGTCCTTATCGGTAACAGCAACAATAGAAGTAACCACATCATGATCTCGTTTAGCCAATTGTTATTTTCCACGATATTTTCCGAACACTCCGATATTAATATGTCCACATTCTTAAATTGGTATAAATTGACTCAAATAATATCTTTCCTATCTTTTGACTTGTTGTTATTTTATAATTTTGCTTCGTTACTCGCGTGACGTGCACGCGCACATGCTTTTCAGCAATGCGAACATTCGATATGCCAAAATAAAACACAAAAGAGATCAATCTCTTTTATCTCTTGTGAAACTGTTTGCATGTTGAAGAAATTCGAACGATCGTCCATATAATGTATTTTATGCGAATTTCATAAAATTTGATCGACAATTTCCAAGATACGTGCGAATATAACCGATAAATTGAAAGAAAGCTTTTATTATTTCGAGTCGAACGCTTATTAATCGTCGAACATATAATATATATATATATGTGTGTTAAGTAGCGGTTAACTGATCAATGTCACGAAACGCGTAACTCATGTGTATAACATTTCGAAAATAACAAAGTGACATCTCGTTTTGCCAATGCCCTTTACGAACGTTTGATTCTTTCACAGGAAAGCAGATAACTGGATAAAGAAGGAAGTGTAAAAAAAGGAAAGAATCGAACGATGCGTCGCGACGCCGAGACGCATCAAGCATAACTGAGAAGACCGTCGAACACCCGCCGTTATCAGGTACGATTCTCGTCGAGTGCGCATGCGCGTACGCGTACGCACGTGTGCGCACCCCCGAGGAATCGGGACAAACCGAGCGAGATAGCCGCTTGGGGAATAGGTGCGACCCTTCATGCGTTCTTTCCCATACGCTCGCTCTAATTATTCCTTCCCTCAATACTCTGACGCGCCTTCGTAATTCTAACTTTTCTTCCTATTATATTTTCCCCGTTTCACTTATTTATCCTATTTTGATTTTTTATATTTCGATCAAAGATCGATATATTTTAATTTTTTAATTTGATTGTTAATTACTTCCGTCTTGTTTAGTTATATGTATTTCCTGCGATATCAAAGAAATATATCGCACGATGAATATACTATACGATATTGAAATTCTCTTGTCACTTTCATTTCACTTAATCTTTTTCGACGGTTCGAAAGTAACATTTCGTCGAGGGATGGAACCTCCCCTTTGATACGATAACAGAATGAGACATAGAACGCAGGACGAAGGGGTGCATTTCAATTGATCCGTCGCTATCGTTAGTAGAGTTCGTTGACCAACATTATCGTATATAGTGACGTACACGCAAACTCTTTGAGGATACTCGCTGAGAATGTCCTTGAACATTGATCGTTTCTTCGTTACAATTATTTTCGGTATTTAGCTTTTGTTTATTATTGTTCATTGAAATGCAGTGGAACATCGATTATCTGTATTAATTGGATGACGATTTCGTTCGAATAAATCATTTTTTAGATAATCACTCTGTAAGAATCAAATTTGTGGATATGTCAAATTGAAAAGGATTTTAAATATAGATTATTATTAAATAAAATAATATATATCTAATAAATAAATATATATTAATCATTCATTAAATACTTTAATATTTTTATCAATTTACTAACTCTAATTTTTCAATTAGATTTTTTTCTTGAATGAATGTTGCTCATTGATATATCGTTATTTTATTTTTGTAAGAAACATATATTGTACATTGTTCAATCCAATTTATTAATATTTGCTGTTTCTAAATTTTTACAAAAAATTGTATTTATTATAAAATTGTACTTATTTGAAATTCCGATGATTTTAATTCAATATTTTTAATATCATTAATAATATGTGTGCAAAAAATATTCGTATATTTGACAATAAGTTTATATAAATAAATAATGCATAAATAAAAACTATTTCGATCAATAATTTATTATTTATTATTTAATACAAATATAATGTACAAATTAAAAATTTTTTACAAAAAATGTATAAATTTGTGAACTAAAATTCATATATTTCATATCTTATTCATGATTCTAAAAAAATACTAAATATTTTAGTTTTACTATTAAAGAGACTATAAAAATCTTCTAATTTTAATATTTCTTTTCTTTTATGATAAATGAAATGATTTCATTATAAATGAAATTCGTATATACTCACAATACATTTAATTCTTTAAGAATCTGAAGTTAATAATTATTTTGCAGTCTCTTTAATAAATATTAATTTTTATACTCAATTATATATAATATATACAATATATACAGAATAAATATTATATCATTATTACTTTTTTAATATATTTTTTTGTATATGCAAATTATTTTATTGATTCATTATATGATAGATCTATATTGTTTTCAATGAATGGAATGAAAAAAACATTCAATCAGTTTTCTAGAATCATCTAATATATGTTTATATAATCATATAAATATATATAAATAAAACTTATTCTATATTTCTTTATTATTATTGACAATTTAGTTCTTTCTACTTTGCAAATAATTAAATAATATTGTTAAAAATATTTTTAATGTTATAATCAAAATTTGAGAAGACATTTAATAATTGATTTGTAATATATAGCACACAGATTGTTTTCACTTGGATTCAATTGTGAACTTAATTCTAACTTAATTAATATTCATTAAACTGACTACATTTGTTTTCTACTTTCTAATTAAGATCTGTTATAATATACATATATAATGTAATTAATATTTTTTATTAATATTATTTCTCAAATCAAAGAAAAATTTAAATTCTTTTGTTAATTCTTCGTATATTTTATTCTTTTGTTTAATTTTAAAAATAGAATATTTAAAAATTGATTAATTATTTCTATATGAAATTTTTCTTTTGAATTATTATTGATTGGTTTTTTATTTTCAAATTTTTTATTTTCAAAACATTTAACAAATTAGTAATTCATATATATACATAATATAATATATATAAAATATAAAATATAATAACATAATATAAAAATAGAATGTAAAATATATTTTACAATTTATTATCCAATATAATGCATTTTGGGAATCTTATAATGAATGCTGATAATATTAATGTCAAAGTAAATTTGTTTGTAACATCAGTTATTGATATATCAGTCAATTTTTAAAAAACTTTATACAATAATGCAAGATAAAAAAAAGAGTTTATTTTATTTTAAAAAAGAAATCAATTTTTTTATTAGAATCATTTTTATTTAAATATTTCAAAATTGAAATAATAAAAGATAAAAAAGATAAAATATTTAAAATAGAGTATTATCTATATTATTGGAATATTATATTATTATTTATGAAAAAATTTTTTCGAAGATTCATTTTGTTTATTTTTTTTATTAAAATTAATCCTCTCCGGTTTTATTCTTTCCATTCTCTTTGAAAACAATTTTTTTCAAATAAATGAAAATTTCTATTTTTATTTTAATATAACAAATTTAATATAATAATAAAACACAATATATAATTATTATATTATATTATATTTTAAAATTTTTTATATATTTTTTGTATTTTCTATATTGATTTTTTGTTAATTCCACTAACAGTTGCAATGTTATTAATCTTTATGATAATAAAGAATGATGAGGTAATTATATTATAATTTCTAAAAAATGTGAATGGTGATCTAGTGTTTTTTTTTTGCTAAATGATTTGCTAATTAATTATAAAAAAAATTATATGTAATATTAGAAAAAATTATTAGAAAAAATTAATTAAAATTCAATACTTCTTTATCTAAAGTTTCATTATATCAATGAAATAAAAATGATGAAATTTTGAAAAATCAAAGTAAAACTAATAAAATCAAATATTATAAATATATTTAATACTGTAAATCCTGAAACTTTAAAAGAATAAGATGATTACAAAAAAAAGTGAATTGAATAAATTTTTTTCAAATAAATGTAATATTTTGTAGAAGAAAAAAACGACTTATGTTAAAAAACAAAAAAATAATTGAAAATAAGAATTTTGAAAAAATGGACAGAATAAAAATAAAAATTTATCCAATATTATTCCAAAAAATTGGTTATATTTATAGCTACATAAATAAAATAGATATATATGTATAAACAGATGAAGAAATAATTTATTATTTTATTATATTTTTTTATATTTCAAATTTCATTTCTGAAACTTTGAAAACTGAAAAAATCGATTATATTATATTATATACTATATAAAATCTAGTATTATGTAATTAATCTCTATTGAGAATGAAATAATTTATTATAAGTCTCAAATTTTAAATCTCATATAAAAAATATTATTACAGCAAGAAGTTTTTTAAATTATAATTATTCTTTTAAAAATACTATATTTATAAAACAAAGAATAAAATAAAATAAGACAGTCCTATTTCTGTTATAGTCGCTGGCTCATTTTATTTCCATCTCACTCCGTTTAATGCAATTTTAATTGCTTATAATTTCAACTAATATTTTTATGCATCTTTTTATCAACTACTGCACATATTTTACTAACTGCACATATATAATTGGTAAAAAATGGCTTGTTCAATTCCTTAAAAGAAAACAGAAATGTCTTTTTATTCATCGTTCAATTTATTATCAAAATTCAGAAAATATAACACTTTTCGATCTTTCAATTTTTGAAAAATATAAATATTCATCTTAATCAAATATTCAATGTGAATCAAAGTTATTTGATTATAATTTATAAAATTGCATAAATTATTGGTTTTTAAGAAAAAAGATAAATGATCTCAGCCGACCAAAAATCATCAATTATCATTGTATGTATGAATATATAAAAAAAATGCAATTTTATTCTTTTTGTATTTTTTTTCCAAGAAAATACATAAGATATCTTAGTTGATCTTAGTTTCTCTATATTTTTTGAAAATTACATCTTCTAAAAAATTTTCAATCTTTTTAATTTTAGATTATTATTATAATATACAAAAAATATTAATATATGATCAAAAGTGAATCAAAAGTGAAGTATAAGAGTTAGAATGAAAAAGTTATACGATCATAATTTTAATTTATATCTCAATCAAAAGTTACTTAACAGAATATTTATGTCGCCATTGAAAATTTATTGTAGTGAAGAAATCCATCAATGATTACTAACAAATTAACAAGTCCATTTATGAAATTATTTAAAAAATTTTAATCAGTGGATTCAAAATAATAAATCTCCGATTGGTAGATACAAATTTAGTAATTTAGATTTTTTTATTGATAAAGTTGTAACTATTGATTAATATCTATTGATAACGACATCAATTCTCATAACTCTATATTAAGGTTCAAAAAGAAATCTAGAAAACTTGAAGAAAAATCTTGATAGTTTTGATAGCATTTCTGTACATAATAGAAATACATAATAGAAATGAGAAAAAGAAAAGAATAATGTAAAAAAAAAAAAAATAGATTTGGGTATTGCAAATGAATAAATAGATTGATAAATTGAAACGATAAATGCAAATTCGTTTCTTTATAACTTCAATATTCGAATTTTCTTATTTATTTGCTATTTTTTTTGTGTTCTACTGTGTAAGAAATACTATCGAAATCCTTAAAACTTTTAAAGCTACCAAAGTTTTGAAAAACTTATCAAAACTTCAAAGAAATCTGGATTTCCAGGTATATTTGAAATGATTCGAATTTTTCATTGTGTACATGCAAGCTTTTATTAATATATACTTGTCAAATATCTTTGAAAATCGATTTATGAAGTCAAAACAAATGTAAAAGTTGATATATAAAAATCAATTGAGATTATTTATTAAATTATTAAAGTTTGCGAAGAAATGAAGCAAATGGAATAGCTTTTGTCTCTACATCCATGTTCTTCGTTTCATCTAATACAAATTTAAATTATTTATAATTTAATAAGTCTCGAATTATATTTTTATATATCAACTTTGTTTTGATTTCTGGAATCTTCTAAAAATATTTCATAAATATAATAATACTTTATAGATTCGAAATAATTTAAAATGTTATAAAAAATTTAAATAAAAAATGCAAAATAAAAATATAAGTTTTTTTAATTTTAATATTCGGAATAAAAAAGATTTTCATCGATTTTTATTATTTTTGAATATATTATATAAAACAAGACTTTTAATAACTTTTTTCTTGATTCCTTATTGCTATTATTATTACATAAAATTTTTCTTATATGTTACATCTTATATATTATACATCTGTGACTGTAAGGCATATGCGCATGTGTAAGCTGGAATTACTATAATCTATTATTCCTATATATAAATATATCGGAATGGACGGCATCTAAAATATATAATAGATTATCAAAAAGTTATTTATGAGTTATGATGGGCTTAAAATGTTTCAAATCTAATGTAAAAATAAAATATAAAATAATCCTTGAGCAACTGAAATTACAATGATCAAAGTTAGAA